ATGACCCTTGGTTTTACATACCGCTATTCAACTTGAATTCAGGACTCTCAGCCTACTCTGAACTACTCAGTGCCTACACTGTTTTGAAAGCGGGAGGAAAATCATATATACACATCATACCTGCCACAACAGATTTCTCTCTTTCCAGGGTATTCTTTGTAGCTGAGATTTCTTCATCAGTGGCTGGATTTTTGAACAGTATCTCTGGACATAGTTTAAATTCAAGTACTTGCAGTTTGTGTGATTTTTCATCTTCTGAGAGAGAAGCCTCTCTTTTCTGATCTGGGCTGTTCTGTGACACTTCGGACTTCATGTGCCAGACAGGTCTGACAGGTGATGTCTCTAATTTGGTCAGATATATGCTTTCCTGTGCAGTACGTTTAAAGGCAACTCTATTCAGATAGTGTTTTTTCGGTTCCTTTTGAAGGTACATTTTTAATCTGTTATTTCTTCTATTCAAATATAGCAGGTTTTTGTCAGAAAACACTTTCTCAGAACATTTGTCTTTGTTCTGACTATCGAGATGTTTCTCTTTGTTTGAAAAGTAGCTTTTAGAGATAGAAGATCGGCCCCTTTTCCTCTGTAGTTTAAGGACAGAGTGATCTACTAATGAGCTCTTGCGTTTCCAGCCATTTTCTCCATTCGTTTTTTTAGTCTTGTCAGTATTTATCATGTGATTATGTGAAAGCTGCTTGGAATTCTTTGCTTCAGACTGCTTTAGTCTTTCGTCTTCCAACTTTGTTTTTTTAGGGTCTCTCTTTCCAATCATATTTTCTTTCCTCTTCCGTTTGTATGAATTCTCCTGTGAAGGAAGAGCTTTTACAGATTTATGCTGAGAATATTTGTGGCTTCTTGACTTTAAGTCTACATTGCCAAAATTTGGGAACTTAACAGCATCAGCACGATAACTACTCAGCTTTTTGTGTTTTATTTCCACTGATAACTTTACCTTCCCTCTCATATTGATTCCTACATCTTTTCCAAGTATGTCCTTTTCTTTCCTGCAGTTCTGTTCTTCACTCGAGTTCTCTTCGCAGGTTTTATTTTTATGTCCTTGATGGACTTCAGAGTGCTTAATTTCAACAGTTTCTGAGTTTTTAAATTTGTGAATGTCTGTTTTGGGTTTCACAGCCACACCTATTTCAGTTTTATCTTTTGAAAGAGACTCCATCTTAAAAATTCTCTCTTTCTTTTTGGGCAACATCATATTGTCTGCATCTGCACAACCAGCTTTTCGTGACAACAATTCCTCTTTGGAAACGTTCTCATAATCTTTTCTGGCAGAATGAAATTCTTTCCCCAATGAGGGGGTTCTTCTATAGATTTGCAACTCTTCCTTCCAGCTGCTTCTTTTCAATTTATCAAGGTCTTGTTTTTCAGAGGAATTAAGTGGTTTAATTTGTTCCTGTTGCGTTGCAAGTGGTTCATATTTATTACTCACCTTCATTTTAGCTTCTCTGTTCATTACAGAGGTGTATTTGTGTACACCTTTTCTATTTTTGCCAATGCCATTTTGAAAATTTTCAGTCGGCAGGTTTCCCACTGCGCAGTTCATCTTTGTTTTGGAACCAGATTTACTGTTGTTTTCCTCTCTCTCTTTAGAGCTGGCATTTTCACCTTCCGGAATTTGAAGATTACTATGATTTTTTTCTGAATCAGATATTTTAGACTTACAGGAGCATTGTGGCATTTCATACTCTACAGATAACCAACCCATTAAACAACAATAAGTTTTTTTTTCTCTTCTGGGGTTTAAGGTTTCGTCTGTTTTTTCTTTTTCCTTGCATAGACTCTGACCAGACTGAATACTACTTTCAAGGTTCTCTTTCTCACTTGAATCCTTTTCTGACTGTTGACTTGTTGCTTTATGGCTTTCGCTATAGGAATGCTGGCTGGGTTCAGGAAACAGTTCTTGCATCTGTTCAGACCTTAAGAGTGTAATTTGTATCTGATCTATTGGGTCAGAATTTTTGTTACAAGTTTGTGTCTCTTTTTGAGGTTGATTCTCTATCCACTCAGCCACAGAATCACTTTGTACTGGATCTTTTGTTAGCATATCAGCACCTTCAATGCCATATGGAAACTCTTTCACAAGTTCAGTCAGCTGGTTATTTAGGCATTTAATAGGTTCTCCTCCAAAAAGGTTTGTCTCCTCATCTATACTACTTTTACTGGACGCGTCATCTTGTTTACTGCTGTCTCTTGTAACAGTGAACATGTTTGTTTCAGCAATTAGATCGACTGATGGACCTGGTGAGTTTTGAGTTAACTCCTGGTTTATACTAGCAAGAATTTCCAAATCATTTTCAGGACGCTTGCAAGATGCGTTTACTGACATTTTTTGTTCTGAGGTAGAGAGTGTTTTAGGAGAACTTCCACTGCTTGCTTTCTCAGAACTGCTAATTGTGATACCATTCAAAATCTTATCTGCTTTATTTGTGCAGCCTGACAATTCTTCTAATGTTGCCTGCAGAAAGCCCTCCCCTTGGAGGATGTTCTCTCTCAATTCTAAATCATCTTTATACGAATCCAGCTGTTGTTCCTTTTGCTTTGGGCCAGATGCATTTCCTTCTAATGAGCTACCATTATTTAATATATTTGTCACAGGGCCTGAGCTGAACATACTTGCTATTTGTGGATTATAAAATACATCACCTTCAACAAGAGAACATACACTAGAAATATGAAACACATCATCTTCCAACACTGCTCTGGAAGTATTTCCTGGCTCTAACACAGCTTGCTCGTCCTTATGGTCTCTCATAACTTCTTGAAAGATTTGACTAGAAGAATTCACACCCAATTCAGGAAAAGACGACTTGTCTGGTAAACTAAGCTGCAGATTTTCTCTGGCCTCTTGCAAAGACTGGCTAACTTGCCTTTGCTTTTTATCACATGCATCACTTACGTTCATGCTGTTTTTCATAATTCCATTACCATCAGCTGATTTGGTGTGTTGCAAATTTAAGTCCACTTTCTGTACTGGAACGCAGTCATCAGGTGATGAAGGAACAGTTTCCCTTGTTCCCTTATCAGTATTTACCACAGTTAAAACATTTTCCCCTTCTTCTTGCAAGCTGCATATGCTTCCTGCTTCAATTACTGGATAGGTTACATCTGAAGATGTTGGAAATTTGTCTGCCTCTTCACTTTGTGTTCTCTGTTTAGAAAGTACTAAAGGGGAGACAACTGCTACTTGGAGTTCAAAACTTTTTATCAAATTGGAACACAATGTATCATGGTTTTGTCCTACCGAAACAGTTGTTAAAGGCAAAATTGCTTCATTTGTACTAACTGAAACATTATTTTGTTCTCTATTTGTTGTGTTTTGACTGTAAGGTAACAGTGAAATTGGATTTGCTGTGGGGCTTTCATTTGACGGGCTATTTTGAGCGTCCACAGGTTCTGAAGCACGTTTTCTCCACAAGCCAAGGCATGCAGTGAGCTCTTCCACAGAGTAAGTACAATTGTTCTGTTCAGAACATGTATTTTCAGTAAACGGTGGTTTTTTCTGCGCTACACCATTCTGGAAATTCGTTCCATCAGATCCCATTGCTTCTGATACAGGACGGTTTGTGTGAACTATAAACGCCTGCTCATCTTTCAAACTTTCTACGTTCTTCTCAGTAGTGTCTTTTAATAAGCTTCCATCTGAGCCCGTTACATCTACCAGTGGTTTTTCATTACACAGGAGACTTGTCAGTATTTTATCTGCAGTAGCACCAGCTCTCTTCTCTTTCAAAGCATTTGTGCTGCTCAACACAAACTGAAGAAATGATGAGTTCTCAGGAGTAGCAGGAACGTTCTTTCCTACAATTCTGAAAGAGCTATCAGTTTGACTATAGCATGAAGTATTGTTAGAGGACGTCAAAGTTTTTTGAGAAGAGGCCAAAGCTGATACATCCTTTTGTTCCAAGATGGGAGCTCTCTCAGGATTATTTAATAGAACTGGGAGTTTACTCTGAGATGAAGTGGGAAGGGAGCTTGACGAAAAGCTTCCCTGCTCCATCTGATGATTACTTTGAGTCTTCTCTAATCCTCTGTTGTCAACATTGGTCATGCTTTTGTCGCTTCTTTCTTCGGGAGAAGAGTTAAGAATCAAATGTTGCTGACTCCTCGCTGTTTCAGACAGGAGAGGTGCTACATTTTGATTGGGCCCATGGGGAAGAAAATTAGGCAGAGTATTTTGATTACATGGAGTAAGCGCGGAAGCACTTTTGTCATGTTCTGAAGCTGCTAAAAGGTTTTTTTTGTAATGAAACATCCTTTCAAGTAGGAGGCATTTTTTTTTAATAGAGAGCAGTCTATGAGCTTCCCAAGCTAGTCTATCCTTTGTAATTTTTGTTCCACTGTCCGTTAGTGAAGACATTTGAGAATTAATAGGCACTTTCATTACATTAGTAGCCAGGCTTTCTTGAACTGACGCAGTATCATTTGGTGGCTTTGAAGTTGCCACTGAAGGAATAGTTGCTATTTCTTGCACGATATTATACAGTTCTTTGGAAATGCCAGTAGATGGTGTAGACATTTCATTAAAAGATTGATTTGCTGTCACATTTCCACTCAAATTACAGACGTTTCTAACTGATTGACCGACTTCTCCAGACTGCTGTTTCTGCCAGTACTGCTGAGCACTGTTAAAACAAGGAACGTTTTTTTGATCTGATGGGCGCTTCTGATGGTTTAAGGTGTACCCGTTAGACACATTTTGAACTGCCTGTTGAACACCTAGCAAAGATTGTGCTGCAGTTCTTGGATCACCGTTGGCAGGCAACAAAGATGGTGCAGAACATCCATTATGAGCTTCCGATCCTATCTGACTTGGTACATATTGTTGCAGTTGTACATTTACAGTAGTATTTTGACTCTGAGAGTGTGAAACTTGAAACTGATTACTGGGATAACATATTTGTTTTTGGACATGTTGTCCAGATGTACCAAGGGACAAAGAATTGTTCTGTGAACGAGCATATTGACTGGATGACTGATTGATGGGTACTGGAATGCCTTGAGAAGAAATAGGGCAGTTAATGTTATATAGTGGTGGACACCCTGCCTTTGAAACATTAACGCACTCCCGGTTACTTTGATATAATATTGTAGTTCTCATAGAATTAAGCTGTGGTATTTGTGGCTGCACAGTATAACCATTTGTGGTGACATACTGATTCTGAGGTTCCTGAGGTATGTTCTGTACATTATTTCCAGAGTTCATTCGAGGAAGTAGGGGAGGTAACTTTCTACGGGAATAAACATATGCCTTAGAGTTTCGCCAAGGATTTCGAGTTATCTGTGTCTGCACACGGGATGCCTGATTAGGAGGTCTTGTTGCTAATGGTACATTGGAAGGTGGACACCCATCCACTGAATATTCTGAGGTAACAAAGCCACTGCCAGCTACAGATGCTCCTGGAAAGGTCTGATCGGAATTTTTGTATCCTTCAGCATTTACAGAAGCAAAGGCAATATTTACACTGCTAGGTGGCAGATACATCATTTGGTTATTTCCAGTATAACTGCATGCATTCTCAGAGGGATATGCATTTGCTTGAGGAAAAGCATGTGCATTAGAAAGCACCTGAGTATAACACGCTTCTTGACTTTGCAAGTTATTCTGTGCATCAGCATTCTGGAGTGGTCCTACATTCCAGTCCATCTTTTCTAGATTTCTTTTTCTTCAGTCCAAAAACCAAAAATCTAAAAAAATAAAGTCAAACTTTGATCTATTTCCTATTTCACTTGCCAGCAAGTAATGTATTATGCATTATGAACAGAACTGTTTTGACTTAAACTGCTAGACACAACAGCAACCTCATTGTCCTTTCCTGTGGATATGAGCATTGTCAATGTCAAGTTGCATAAATTAGAACACAGTGAAGTTGACTGGCAACAAAGAATTCTGTTGACTGTCTAGCGAATAACAGAATCCTCAAATTATTCCCCAAATCTTGTTATCGTTCAGCTTCTGAATTTAATGATAGATTGCTACGTTTACCTTCTCCTCCCAAAAGGATGGAAAAAACAGTGTATTTGTATACCAGATGTTATAATAAGCAATCCTTAAGCCCCAAACATAAGCACCTACAGAATAAAACACGGGTATGCCTCCAAATACGAAAAAATATGACAAAAGGAGGAAGAAAATGAACATGGGTTCACTACAGATCTCTCATGAAACTGTATCCTGATCGTTTTTATTTTACATGTCATTTTCTCCTCCCTGAAATTTGGGCAATTACTATTTTGGAGACTCATGAGTCTGACTGCAGTTAACAACAGGTAACTGCAGCAAACCATTCCTAATTTTGTGACATAGCATTAAGTTACTCATCAGGCCAAAGCCATGAAGCTTGGAGATAGCATTGCAATCTCTACTGCTGCAGTGAGTACATCCCCAGGAGGTGACAAGTTTGCAGACCTCGACCTCTTGATGTGTTATATTCCATAATTTAGACATTTAGACCAGGACATTGATTACCAGCGAGCCCAAATGGGCGAGCATGTTACCTCTGAATGACCTCTGAAAATTGTTAGAGCCAGCTTCTTCAGGCCAAACATTTTTTCAGGATTCTAAATCAGAAAGCATAAAAACAGCAAGACTACCTACAAGAAGGAATGTTGTTTTCATCTTGGTAAGTTCCTCTCAGTACAGTCAAACCCACCATCCCCTCATGCAGGGTTCTAGACTTAATTTCTAAACAAAATGTTTCAGGTAATTTCTCACAGATCACCCAAAGCTCCTGACTCTCTTTCATGGGCTCTCATAGATTTGAAGTGTCTCCTGATTTCAAACTCAGCATTAGAAGCATAACCCAGATACAGCCTGTAAGAGCCACAAAGTCAAAATGTTCCAGCTGATTGCTCAGCTATTATTATCAAGATTTGTTCAAAGATACCTGTATCACCTTTCACTCTCTCCTGTACTTTTTCTACTCTAAGATTACATCAATACAAAATAAAACAAGGAAATGAAGTCCCAAATGAAATTGTAAAAAAACAGCAACAACAAAAAATCCCAACACCACCACCCACAAGGCAACAGCACAAATCATCCAGTTTCAACAGCAGCACTGAAGCAATACTTACAGTAATGTATGAATCTTTGATGAGAACATAGGCTTTTGTATCCAAGCTGAAGATTTCAGATATTTGCCAATATTACACTGGATATTTCCTGAAAAATAATCAGAGGACAAAACAAATTACCTCATTGGCTTAGGTAGCTTTGGAAGTAATGTGAAACATTCCAAGAACTAAATTATATTTCTGGAATGTATAAACAAGACTAAAATGCCAGCCAGCAGTAATTATAAAATCCTTGTTAGACAAACAAAAAAAATTTTGATCACATGCAATAAAAAACTTAGTCTATCAAACCTAAACAAGTTAGCTAAGAGTAAAATTCAGTTGTCGCTTTAAAAAACATATAGATGAGGAACACCAGCTTAGTTTATCATTATTAGGTGGATTAAGACAATGTTAAGGTTGCATTTGTGTTCACAACCAAAAAATACTGTATAAAATTTCAAATCAGCAAAATATAAATAAAGGGATATTCACCAGAGAGCACTTCGAAGAACATTTGAGATCAGTATCAGAATGAGCTTCCAAAAGTTAAAAAGACTCTTCATAAATGCCTATGGTATTCTTCTTTCACCTGCTACATTCTCTTCTTGGCCACTGAAGCCTCAAAAATCATCAACAACTACTAAACAGCCCACTGCCAACTATTCATTGAAGGTACATAGACAGGGAAAGGAGAGACACCCAGTGAATGACATCTGAATGAGAACTGTCCTCTAACTTTTATTTCCCCCAAATTAATTACATTTTAATGCTTTAAGAGCTCTTCTATCTTTAAGATCCTAATTTAACCAACTAAACTCTATTAGATAATATAAAGAGAAGACTGGTAGTGCTATCTACCTTAGGTGTGGGGTAATTTGTATTTTTGGGTATGGAACTAGGAAGAAAGCATTCAGAAACCATAGTGATCGTCGCACCGGCTACCAATTCAACATTTAATAGGAAGGGTACAAGGTTCCACACCACCAAGATACTTCTGAATCATTATCATTTCATAATACACCTGGAAAAACACCTAATACTTCATAATATATATAACGTTTCATAAAACGTCTGAAAAAACAAGAGAGTCAACTTAGATTTCAACCCACGTCTGCTTAAAGACTATCTTCTGCTTTAGCAGAAAAAAAAGTAAGATTGTACTACCTTGTCCTAATAATACAGAGATAATACGTTAAAAGAGAAGGTGCAACTGGTAAAATTCTTGAGCTTGATCAGTTCCATTTACAAAAGTAACTTAATATCACATCTACACTATGAAGAATCTGAACCTCCCACCTGTCCCATTTTCTACAAAGCTGGGCACGGTATTCCCTAGGATGGACGGTGGCACAGGAAAAACCTGCTCAACTCTTATGGTTTAAATCCAATCAGATGATTTATTACTTTATTAACAACACATAATTAACCAGCAATCAATGAAATATACAGAGGGGATCAAGATCAGCAGTACAACAGATAAATCACAATACCAGACACTTAAAAAAACCTTAATAAACCTACACAATTCTGAACAGCCGTTTATAACTGTTTCCAAAAAAGTTTCAATCCCCCACACACTTTCACAGTTATGCATATAGACACTCCCCCCCCCCCCCCCAAACTCCTAAGGAAAAGCGCTGAAGGCCTGTATCTCCTTCTGGGAGTTTGGGTTCTCCTGTTCACGCATATCAGCGAGAATATACCCCACAAGGTCGCCCCAGGTGTGGCTCCTTACTTGCTGTACCCTGCACCATCAAGTCCAGTAGCTGGGTGCAGGCTACTTAAAACATTCCACAGGGAGGATGCTCCATGAGGCCTAGACAGATGTCACAATACTGAAGACGTGACTTCTGACAGTGTGAAACCTGGTTTGGCTGTTGGTCTGTTACCACTTCTCTTCCCCTTGTTACATATCGTCATGCCTTTTTTTTTTTTTTTTTTTTTTTTTTAAACTTCAATCTCTTTCTCTTGGAAGACTTTTGGTAGTCTGGATATTATTCAATACACATGACAACCATCTTTGACAATGATAAAATTTGCTTCTTTCCTCTTAGTGCTGCCAGTTTTTGGGAAACCCTTACCAGAACAGACAGCGTAGAGTAATTCATTCACATGCTGCAGTGATCCTAACCAGGAAACTATTGTATGTCGAGGAGTTAATGAGCTGCACAGCAGTTCACCAAAGCAGACACAGGCCCATGCTGTGCATTTCACTTGACAACTAGATGAACTTAGCCAACAAAATGTGACAGTAAAACCTGTATGCGCCTCCCACCTGGTACCTGGCGATCACTCCACCTGTATGTCTCATCTCATCTTGAACTAAAGCAGCATGTTTTCATAGAACACGCTTTTGTTTGACAGTAGGCAAGAGGAATAGTGTTGTTTACTTGTAAGAACATCCTTTAAAAGCTCTGAAGACCATAATGCTGGCAAACCTCACCACAGGCGCGATCTGCGCAGTGTGTCCTGCCATAACTACAAGGCTGCCTGACATGTACAACTCAAGGGTTCCCAGCATCTGGAGGGACATAAGGTGATAACCTTGGTATCCCCTTTTTCCTTCTCATGTTATCTCGAATGAATGGAATTTTAATCAATAGCTCCACAGAGTGTCTTTCTTACTGGAATCCCTAATCAACACTTGCACCAGTGCCTTACGCACGCATACTTTGCTCTCACGTTCTTGTCTCCCAATCTGTTGTTGCCCACTCCATGTTACCAAGAGGGAGCTGTGTGGATTCACACACAAATGAGGAAAGAGGCACTAGCATAGGAGAGACTTTTCGGCAAAGCTCCCTTTTATCCCTTTAGGGTTTCTGCAAGGGCTCAATGAACTCAGAATTGAAATGATAGTTACAACCAGTTAGTGGGGTTTTTATTTCTTTCTTGGTTTTTTAAAGTTATCTCTCTTCCAGATGAGTTCTTCAGAAGCAGACAGGAGTTAGGTTGGTTTACAACTTTGTTTAGAATCTCTGGAGCTTTCCCTTCCGTTAGGGCAAGCGTCACTGGCTCACTCGCAGCTTAAGCCCCTTTGCAAGTATTTTAATCAGGCATAAAGAATGCTTCGTGTCTCCTTTCTTTGTGCTCTTTAACGTATCATTATAACCTGAAGCAGTTTGAAAGGCAAAACATTGACGATCAATTCTCCTCGATAGACTGATTTCTGATTAGAACTTATTATCCTCTCTCAGTTACAGCGCAGACGCTCAGACAGGTTTGGTGTTCTCATCAGCTGCTCTTAAATCATCTATGCAGAAATGCACAGATGCGACAACTACAGTCTGTCTTAGAGAGATAAGAGTTTTGCTGAAAAAAAACTAGAGACCTCTGGTGCTCAGTTTCTCTAAACTCATACAGTCAGCTGATACAACAAGCCTCAATCAATTTTTTTTTTTTTTTTTGAAATCAGCTTTCATTTCTTACTAACTGAAGCGTTGGCTTAATAAGAAAAGTTTATTTTTGATAAGGTGGCCTGGACAGCATCTACAGGTTACTACCACATTTACAGAAATCTGAGGCCAGAAGTTGTCATGGTACTGCTATGATCCTGCAGTTGCACTGCTTTCTGTGGCTAGGCCTACAGTCATCAGGTCTGTTATTTCTGACAGAAATACTAACTGCTGCCTTTCATCACTGCTGTTAGCAAATATATTGCTTGTTGCCCACCAAATACCCGATACAAGAGTTACTAAAAGGCCTGAATTTATGCAGAATGTCTTATGTTAAACTTTTGGTCAGTTCAGATCTAGTCATTCCCACTTGTCTCTATATAAGACCATAGGGTGCACTCAAGCGGATGGAAAGGAGAAACTTAGAATTGTTCTGCAAGCCCCAGTGGTAGCAATAGGTTGTTAACAGCAGCTCTGGAGCAAGGTTATTAGATGTTTATTACCTTGAAATCCCCAAACCACAAGGGGAACTAAGAGGAATTATGGGTTTAAGAATTAATAAGCTACAATTAATATACTACGCATGCGCTAGAGAAAACAAGGGAAGCTGTAATTCAAGGAGTACGCAAGTCCAGATTGGCACCCTATGTAGCGCAAGTCTAAAGGTCACGACCTGCTGTTTCTCATGCATTTTGCACATCAAGTGTTTTAGCAGCTGGAAGAGGTGAACAGTCAGCATGCTGCTATCTGCTTGTCAATCTTCTGCTGTTTACCCACTACTTGCGTGCTCTGTACATCCCAGCACTATACACACAGACACCTGCTTCTCTCCCGTTAGTTGCACAGATTATGCATTAGTTTGTGCTTCACAATGTAATTTTGAAAACTAAAGAAGGGGTGGAAAAACACCTCCTCCCTCTCCCAAATGTACTTCTAAAAACGATAGTACCAGACCTACTGCAAAAAAAGGTGCTTCTCCTTTCCATAGTTATAAACTTCAAATTCCGCATTTGAACACCAGTTGTAGCTTTCTATCTCATTACAAAGTCAGATGATTAAGCCAAAAAGGTACCAAAAAATTTTTGCAAAGCATAAGCAAAGCACAAAACAGTAACATGCAATTCAAGTAAGAAATACAGGAATGTACTTTAGAATATTTTATTCAATAAAAATATCAGACATTACCTGGCTCAAATCAGAAAAACAAAGGTGGCACATCATCATGCTGAAACTGCTTTTAGACATAACTAAATTTTTGGCCCAACCCCATGTCTTCTAGATATGGCTTCAAAAGCCATGGCAGGAGAGATTTAAGACATATCTGTATCAAGGATACAACAGGGCCAAGCAGCCTACCTCCTGCAACAAAGAGAGAGAATACGGCCATTGCTTATTCAACTGTAGGGAGCAGGGTCTGACAGTGTGACCTTGCCAGTATTTCTGGAGTGCTGGGTGCGGGCCTGTGCTCGGGTTTCATCTGGACAGCAGACCCAGAGAAGAAACACTTTCAGAT